ATATATATATATATATATATATATATATATATATATATATATATATACATACACACACACACACACACACATTTAAATTCAAATTCAAATTCAAAAATACTTCATTAATCCCAGAGGGAAATTATTTGTTGTTGTAACTCATTATCCTCATTTCATTAAGAGATGTTATAGATACTGATGGCTGTAGACAGGAAGGATCTCTTGTAAAGGTCCATCCCACAGTGGATCCTAAGAAACTGGCTGCAGATGCCGCCCGATCCGTCCACCCAGACTCGGCAGGTCTCTCGGTTCCCCTCGGGCTGTAGGACCGTCCAAATGCTTGGCAGAACTCCTCCCAAAGCGATGGCCACTCCTCCCAGCAGTCTGCTGAGCTCCTCGTCGCTGTGGACAGCCAACTGTAGGTGCCGAGGGACTATCCTGTCCTTCCGCCGTCATGAGCCGTGTTTCCTGCTAGTTCCAGGATCTCAGTGGTCAGGCACTCGAGCACAGCTGGCAGGTAGACGAGAATCCATCCACAGAACATCCTTCTCAACTCATTTGAGATTTGGGGCTCTAGTTGAGATATTATTTGAGCTTTTGAGATGTTAATCAGCTGCTGTTGGTTGTAGAAAACTGCCTTGTTGCCATGGTTACGCATCATAACAAATGTCCAAAACTAAAAAAGTTTCAGTAAAAATCCTTCCAGCTGCACAGCATCTGATACCAGAGGAAACAATCATCCAGGAAATGTGATTTACATCCAGAAAAAGAGGAATTAAAGTTTCCAAAAGCAAAATCTCAGAATGAAAGTAACAGAGCTGCTCCAACATGCAGCCACCTGGAGCGGCGCAATTCTAGAACTTATAGATAGATGGATATATATAGTATATATGGTATATACCATATACCACTAACCATACCGTTGGTATATAACCATGTATCAATGATATGTAAGTCAATGGTATATATTGACTGAATATTGGCAATATTTCTGAATTTAATTGGTATGAAACAATTCTAGGATTGCGTCGCTCAAGGTTGCTTCATGTTGGAGCAGCTCTGTTACGTTTATTGTAAGTTATTGCTTTTGAAAACTTGAACTCCTCTTTTATTCTGGATGTAAATCACATTTTTTTGGATGACTGTTTCCTCTGGTATCAGAAGCTGTGCAGATGGAAGGATTTTTACTGAAACTTTTTAACTTTTGGACGTTTGTTATGATGCGTAACCATGACAACGTGTTGTTTTACAACTGGGAGCAGCTCCAAAGCTCAAATAATACCTCAACTACAGCCCCCAAATCCCAAATGAGTTGAAAGAGAGGCGAATCATCCATCATGGGAGAAGAAGTGGAGAAGTCTAAATATCTTGGGGTTCACCTGGACAACAGACTGGACTGGAGATGAAACAGTGAAGCGTCTACAAGAAGGGACAGAGCAGAATGTACTTCTTGATGAAGCTGAAGTCCTTCAGTGAATATCTTCTAGAAGTCTGTTGTAGAGAGCGCCATCTCTTCTGCCATCATCTGCTGGGGGAGCAGCACCAGAGCGACTTCAAAAAAGATCAACAAGCTCATAAAGAAGGCTGGCTCAGTTCTGGGGACTCCTCTAGAACCTTTGGAGATGATTGTACAAAGAAGGATTCTTCAAAAAAATGAAGAACATTATCCTCTTCATCAGACTGTCAGTCAGAGGCTTCTTCAGATCCGTTGTAGGACAGATCGCTACAAGAGATCCTTCCTGCCCACAGCCATCAGCATCTAGAACAACTCTTTAAAGAAACCAGGATGATGAGTTACAACATTTAATTTCCCTCTGGGATTAATAAAGTATTTTTGAATTGAATTTCATGAGTCTGGATTCACTGTGGACTCTGGTGGCCTTCATATTCACTTGATGCCAAACCACCTTTGGGATGTGGTGGAACTGGAGATTCATATCACTGATGTGCATTCTACAAATCTGCAGCAACTGAGTGACGCCATCGTTTCAGTAAAGACCAAAATCCCTGAAACTTTTCGACGCCTTGTTAAATCTATACCACGATGAATCAAAGCAGTTGGGGGGTCCAACACGCTACTATGAGGTGCACCTCATAAAGTGTCACCCTTAATAAAAACAGAATAGTTGAAGTCAACTTCAGTATTTAATCTTGTTTTGCTGCTGTGTGTGATTAAGTCTGCACAGGAAGTCACCATCACAGATCTTTCCTGTTGCGCTCCCTTTGAGCAAGCTCTTATCTCTTTACTGTGAAATGCCTTCTTCTGAACTTCGGGTCAAAAAGTTGCTAACTCATTCAAGTGGTGACTGAAATGTTGCACAACACGTAAAGGTAATAAATGTTTTATTTTTTTAATTCATGCAGTCATTTTAGAATTTAACCTAATATTTCACCAACGTGTTGAGAATAATAGTTTGTCTAGTGTAGCAGGCAGATTAAAGCTTTTCCCCTCCATTACCTCCAACTAATACTCACATTTATGATGTTTCTTCTTTCAACCAGGCCCTGAATGTCAGACAGAACATCCTGCATGGTAAACCCGGGTTTGTAGGACTCTGGCGACCCACCGGTCACCTCTGCAGCTCCAAGATCAGCTGGTGAACTACTCCTTTCAGCCTCCATGCCTTTTTGGATCTGAGGCTACACAGACAGAAGACGAGGGTGGCGTCACATTTTAGCCCCTCTTCCCCACGTTTGTCCACATATAACAACAGAGCTTCCTGTTCTTTTCCCGCCTTCCACCGTGGCAGATAAAGCCAGACGAGTCGGTGCAGCTAAAGCAAAAAATGTGCCCGAGTAAGAAGCGGCGAGCCTCCGGGGACGAGGAATTCTTCTGCTCGTGTAAACTGCTGCTGTTCATTTCTCTCCTGAGACTGTGACACCGCGGTCAGACAGGTTCAACGACCAAAAAAAAACGTGAAATGATCCGATTGGTTACAAGATTATGAAAGAGGGGCGGTGCTTCTTCAATTGTCTGGGCCATGACTCAGGTGTGAACTGTGAGACTGTAGGTGGAGCAGCAGCAGGATGTGAAAACAAGCTGAATGTTTGGCGCCTGCAGCCGAAGGTGGGGCGACATTGTATTTTTCTAGGTCCTTCCCAACATTGTAAGCTGTTTAAGCGAGATCCGTTTAAAAAAATTTTTTAGTTAACTCTGTTACTGAATACCTTGTGAACAACTGGATGGATTTTAATGAAACTTTCAGTGAGGGTACCTCTGATGACCCAATTCAAGATGACGGCCACAGCCAAGCCTTAGAAAAAACTAAATGGCTATAACTCAGTCAACTTTACAGATACTGAGCTAAAATCTGATGTAGAAGTAACTGAGACTCATTCTCACGATATACTTTGAGCACCAACAGAGTTTTGTGACATTCCACGATGTTGTAAATCATTGCAAATAAGGTCATTTTTGAGGTTTGCTCCAAACGGCTGCAACTTTGTCCATCTCTGCATTAAACGGTTTCTGGCGTAAAAAGCAGCGGGTGATATGCATTCCTGCAAGGATTACTAGGTCAAGTCAAGTATTATTTCTACTGTTTGTATTTCCTGTTGTCTTCAGTTCTGCTCTCCATGGAAAACGATTACCGTACTTTGAAAGTACAACGACAACAAACTCCTCTTATCTAAAGCATCTTTCTTTTCTATTTTGTATATAAGATCAGAATATTCTATTCTAAATGATCTAATAAATAGAGAAATTGCATTCCCTGTGAAAATGCAGTGTGAACGCTTGTTACAGAAGAACTTGCTGAAAAACAGATTAAATTAGCTAAAAACATGCTGAAATGTAGTTGAAACGGAAGAACAAGTCTAAATTAGAAAAAGAAAGCAGAAAAAACACATATTTGCTGAATTAGGTTTAAATAAGCAGAAATTAGCATAAAAATTTGGAAATAAGCTGAAAAATTCTGAAATGAGCAAAATATAGCTTAAAAGTAGCTGAAAAGGCAGAAAGAGCTGAAATGATCTAAAAAATGTGAAATTAGTTGAAAAGCTAAAATTAGCATAAAACAGCTACATAATAGCTGAAAAAGCAGAAATAGCTGAAACTAGCAGAAAAAGGCTGAAATGGGCATAACAAGCTGAAATTAGCATAAAAAAGTAATTAGGCTGAAAAACTTGAATTTATCTGAAAACAGCTAAAAGTAGCTAATAAATGCTAAATGTATAGGTGAAACTGTAGAACAAGCTTAAATTAGCAGAAGAAAGCAGAAAGAACACATTTGCCCAATTAGGCTGAAAGAAGCAGAAATGAGCACAAAAAAAATTGGAAGTTCTCTGAAAACGATGAAATTAGCAAAAAAGAGCTGAAAGGTAGCTAAAAAGTAAAAAAAAAAAAAAGCTTGAGTTGACAGAAAGAAGTGGCGAGAGCTCATTTGTGCTGAATTGGTCTGAAAAAGTTGAAATGAGCGTAAAAAAAAAAGTGGAATTAGCTGAAAAAACTAAAAGTAACATAAAAACAGCTAAATAGTAGCTGAAATAGCAGGAAAAAGCTGAAACTTGAAGAAATAAGCTGAATGGAGCAAAACAAGCTGAAATTAGCAGAAAGAAGTTAGAAGCACAAAAATATTGTAGCTAGCAGAAAGAAGCTGAGAGGAGCACAAAACAGCTGAAAAACAGCTGAAATTAGCTGAACCAGAACATAATGTGAAAGAGCAGTAAAAGGTTGTAAACAGATCTGAAGATCTGAAGGACGGAAAACGAGCTCAGTTCATTTTCTATGAGGAAAAAAACATGGCAGAAAAGGAGACCATACAACAATATCTGGTCTTGTAAACTTTTCCTTTGATGTTTGCCGACACCCTTTTGTCACAAATCACTCCTGAAACTTTTCTCCATCCACTCCCTCCTGCCTGGATTCTCTTCTTCTCCTCTTTACCGCACTCTCCATTTCCCTGGACAGTGGACCTCAAGTCCTTGAAGTCCTGCACCTTTGTGACCTCTGCTCCTTGTTGCCTCACTGTTCCACCTCCTCCCTCTCATTCACACACATGTACTCTGTCTTACTACGGCTGACCTTCATTCATCTTCTTTCAAGTGCGTACCTGCACGTGAATGCTTCATAAACATTCACACAACTATTGAACAACTCCTCACCTGTTCCAGAGCCTTCACGGTAACCTTGTGCCCTCCACGATGCTCCGGTTCACTCTCTTCATTTAGCTGTGAAGCTCTGGTTTGTTCTGCTGGCGTTTTACGGTGTTGGCCGTCTGTGCGTTCAGCTCCTCGTTGTTCCACCGCCTCACCTGCTACACCTGTGTCCTGTTCGGCGTCTGCTGCGGTCAGCTGTTCACGTTCAGCTGCGTTCTTTAGCGCTTCGTTGGAAACATCTCCACGAGGTTTTGATTCTTCTGCAGCACAGAGGGCAGAGCGCTCCGCTTCTTCCTCGGGTTGACAGAAACCCATCACTGAGATGTTTGATTCAGAGCTGAAACAAAGACTTCTTAAAAGCCTCTCGTTTGATTTAGGACCGCTTAATGTGGAGCAGAGTCGGAACTTCTTCTCAGGAAATTGTGCGTTTGACATTTCTGCAAGTCTTGCAACACTTAGCTCAGCTCCTCGCCTGAAAGCATCTGACCTGCCGGGCTCAATAGTCCCACTTTGTTGTGTGTCCCACTCCTGCAGCTCCAACACTGCAGCAGATACTTCATCTGGACTTCCACTGACGTCCCCATCATGATGTTTATGATCTACAGCTTGAGTTTTATCCTTGAAAGCGTCGGACTGTGCAGCCATATCACAGCTTTTTAAACCAGCTTGGTCTGATTCTGGACTGACGGATCCTGTGAAGAGTCCAGGTGTCTCCTCTGGGAGATGAGCACCGAGAAGCTCTGCCACCTGAGAACATCTGAGAACATCTGGACTGCAGGCAGCAGAACGCTCCTGTAGCTGCATGTCGAGCACCACTGTAAACGCTTTCTTTGTGATCTCAGAGTGCGTTTCTTCTCCCTGAGCATCTGCTGAAGCCCTGGAAGTGTCGGGCTGGACTGGGAGGTGATCGGACACATTGAGAGGGGCTGATTGTGTCGCTTCTGGCAGGGACGACTTGTAAAGAGCAGGAAGAGTGTGTGACTCAGGAAGAATTATGTGCGTGCCAATTTGAGCGTTAGTACACAGTTTGCCTCGTTCATCGTTTGACCAAAGAAAAGTCTGAGGGTTAAACTCTAGTGAAGCTGATGGAGGAGTCCCTGATCTTACAACATCTGGACGTTTTGCACATGTGGTCTGAACAGAGGTTGAGGCCTGTTCTTGGTTTATACTCATGAGGCTTTTTGTTAGATTCACAACGGAGACGTCCTTCTGACCTGAAGCGCCTGATAGGTTCTGCTCTGTGGTATTATCTGCTTTATGTGTTGCTCCGGACGCAACAGTGAAAGGACAGGTGTGAAAAACTACTTTAGGATGATTCTGGCTGTCATGTTCACCACCTGACACTTTCTTTCCATCTGCTGCAGAGGAGAAACCTGTGGCGTTATCAGATAATGCCCAGTCTTCCTTCCCTTCATCACTTTGATTTGGGAAATCCACTCGAATGTGACCGATCTGTGAAATTCACAAAATTATCAAAAGAATTTTAAAACGTATAATACGACTTTTTCAGCTTGTAGCTGTATAATTCTGTCTCACCGAACATCTAGACAGAGTTTCCATTGCAGTTTGACTTTCACTGAGAGCATCTGAAGCGGTTTTCAACAGAATCGTCACCACTTCTGATCCCAAAGAACGTAGAAGGAAGTTTTCTTCCGCAGTAGCTTCACAGAGTGCTTGTTGAAGCCGTAAACCTTCATCCAAAGAGTCCTGGGAAAGCAGAGGCACACAAACCTTTTATTGCCTCTCAAGGCAAAGTTGTTCTTGACTGCGTTCCATGTCTGTACTGTTAACAAAATATACAATGAACCAGCCGACAGATTTTAATGAACCCATCAAAGAGTAATTACTGAATGGAGCTGAGATGGTGTAGTGGTAGGGCAGCCGACTTGGGACCAGAAAGTCGCAGTTCTACTCACAGCCATTCCCACATGTCGTGGCGTCTCTGAGCAGGACACCTAATCCCCAATTGCTTCCCAGGTGCTTACATAGCTGCCCACTGCTCCACCTGGTATCTCAGGTGTGATGGGTTAAATGCAGAGAACTAATTTGGCCATTGTACGGGAACATGCAGTGATAACAATCTCGGACTTCCCTTCCCCTTACCTTTTAGGGCAAATTCAATTAAAGATGGTCGCCAGAGTCGACTAACTCTATAGAAAACACAAATATGGCTGCAACTCAGCCAACTTTACAGATAATAAGTTTAAACTTGTTGTGGTAGTATCGGGCCAAAGATAAACTGTCCAAGATCAAAACCAACCTGGACCCCGCATGTAACCGCTGTAAACAAACTCCAGCCATGCTCTTGCACACATTCTGGACTTGTCAAAAGCTGCGGGGCTACTTGCAATCCGTTTTTGATGCTTTCTCTGGGATATGTGGAAAAACTGTGCACTCATCACCATTCATTATTTGGGGTGGCCCCTGTGGATTCAAGTGCGAGAGGAACGTGATTGTTTTTGGCTCTTTTCTAGCCAGGAGACTTACTTTATGTAGATGGAAGGATACACATCCCCCAGCATATGAACACTGGTTAAAAAGTTATGTATCATATTAATTTGGAAAAGATTAGGTATACTGTGAGGGGATCTGTTGGGAGATCTTGGGACACTTGACGGCCATTTGTGTCATATATTGAAACTGTGTCAGTGCCTGTATGATTCATGCGTGCCTCTACAGCTGATCCAGTATGTTGTTTGTTTCTTTTTGTTTGTATTGTTGATATTAAACAATTTGTTGTGGTAGTTGCCGAGTTATTCGAAATACATAATCTGAGCATCTTGAGATATGTACTGTAAATTTTAAAGTTTGCACTATTCTCAGATGAAAAAACGAGTTATTTTTCACCATAATTATGTAAAAAAAAACTTCTATGTGCTCCTTTAAAAATCCATTACAGCCTCACACAGATGAGGACCACAGCTGATCTTAAACAGAAAACGTTTGTCTTTATTAAAACAAAATTTCTAGTACTTTTATTTAGATAAAGTGTAAACCTTAAATTGCATTTAACCACGTCTTTTTTTCCAAGAGACACGTGGAGCAGAAACGTCTTATTTTTCATATAATTTAAAAGGTTAGACTTGTGGCATTTCACAGCTCGACCAAACAACGTCAGAAGGTAATTTCCACGGCATTAACATAAAGTGCAGGCACAAAAAGATTTGAAGCTTCAGTGTTGCTGACTGCTGCTTTCAAAAGGTCTAGAACGGTTGAAGCAGTGGTTAAAGGCACAGAGGGCCCGCTAGATTTTCTGAACTTTGTCGAAATAGTTCTAAATTAGACGTTACATCATTTCATTTTTTTTCCCAGAGATGACTCACAACAGCTTGGTTAACTGAGAAGTTTAAAAATTGGTGTAATGGTCTTTTTTTCTTTTTAGATTGTACGCTGTATCAAATAAATAAAAAAAGGGATAATAGTTTCAGTGAAATTGTAAATATTATAAAGTAATTGCACTTCTTGAAGGAATGCATATCACATGATGCCTTTTGTGCCAGAGTTAAAGATCAGCCTTCGATGAAACGACCTTGTGTTCGGTCTCATGACGCTGAACATGAGCTCACCTGATGCATTAAGTATAGGATGTGAACGACCTTCGGCTACTACCACACTACATTTTAGCTCAATATCTATAAAGTCAGATGAGTTGCAACCTTTTTGTATTTGCTAACGTTGCTTTGTTGAGGCAGCCATCTTGAAAAGTCAATCTGTTGTAGATTTGCAGGATTACCATTTGAGAGTTTAAAATCCACCCACTAGTCCATGTGATATTTTGCTAACATTACAAATCAGGGCTATTCAACTAAATTGCTCAGGGGGCCACAGTTACTGAAAGCCAAGAGCTCAGGGACCAGACGTCCAACAGCTTTTGTCATTAAGTAAGTTTGTTTTACCGTTTAAAATCTAGTTTTATTTAAAAACGAACCCATTGGTGGGCCGAACTGAGCTCACCCGTGGGCCTGATTTGGCCCACGGGCCGTCAGTTGACTAGCCCTGTTACAGATAAACAAACACAGGCAGCTATGAAAACAAATGGTCCAGAAACAGCTCGTTTTCTATGAGAACAGAGAGAGGGTTGCATGTTATTTACTTGACTGAGTGAGGATGTCTCGGTCTGAACCGCGTGGCTCCACCGCTGCAGCCGCCCCACGACTCCTCTGACAGACTCAGCTGCGTTTTCTACACACTCCTGCTGCTTCCGTTCAAAAACTGACCTCAAGCTGCATTTAAGAAAGAAAAAGACGGGAGGAGTGTTTCTTTTCTAGTATTACTACAGGAAAATTTCATGCATCAAAAGGTACATTGTCATATAAATTAAATTAATTAATAAATTAACCGACCTTCCATTTTCATGACTGAAAGTGGAATAAAATAATCCTGAACAATAATGTTACATTTTGTTCCAGAGCAATCATTTCTGATAAATGTGTGAATGATTATGAAGCATTCACACTATTGTGATCCATTTTTCTTCTGTACGTTTTTTGGCATCTTTCTCATTCCACAATTTTTGTGCTATTTCAACAAATCTTATACCAAAACGTTCAGCCCGTTCAGGAGAAGGGTGCTATAACTTTTGGTATTGGTGCAACTTTGGCTTTTAGAAATATTTAGCATTTTCTGCCACTTTTTTCCTCACAGAAAATGGATTGAGCTCATTTTACATCCTTCAGATCTTCAGATGTGTTCACAACCTTTTACTGCTCCTTTCACATTTTGTTCTGGTTCAGCTTCTTTCAGCTTCCATGTGCAAATTTAAACTTTTTTCAGCTACTTTCAACTAATTTCAACTGTTTTTTCAGCTGTTTTGTGCTCCTTTCAGTTTCTTTCTGCTAACTACAACATTTTTGTGCTTCTAATTTCAGTTTATGCTCCTTTCAGCTTATTTCTGCAAGTTTCTGTTTTTTCTGCTATTTCAGCTACTATTTAGCTGTTTTATGTTAATTTTAGCTTTCTTGACTAATTCCATGTTTTTTGCACTCATTTAAACTTTTTTCAGCCTAACTGAGCACAAATGTGCTCTCTCCACTACCTTCTGGTAAATTAAGCTTCCTTCTGTTTTTTTAGCAACTTTTCAGCTGTTTTTTTTATTTTTTTTGCTTATTTCAGCTTGTTTAGATAATTTACACTTTTTTGTGCTTTTTTACTTTTTTCAGCAAATGGTATTTCTGCTTTCTTCTGCTAATTTAAGCTCGTCTTACTATTCAGCTACTTTTTAAAAACAAATTTTAGCTATTTTTAGCTGTTTTCAGATAACAACGTCCATGCTCAATAATTATTTTCAGATAAATTCAAAATTTTGTGGTAATTTCTGCTACTTTCAGGCCCAAATAACTTATTTCTACAAATTTCAGCTTGTTATGCTCCTTTCAGCTTTTTTTCTGCTAGTTTCAGCTTTTTCTTCTATATCAGCTATGGGGGCCAAGATGGTGTAGAGGCAGGGCAGCCGGCCTGGGACCAGAAAGTCCCAGGTTCGATCCCCAATCACTGCACATCACGTGGCATCTCTGGGCAGCACACCTCATCCCCAAAATGCCCCCCAGGCGCTTTCACTAGCTGCCCACTGCACCACCTGGTGGTGGATGGGTTAAATGCAGAGACTAATTTCTCCATTGTATGGAAACATGCAGTGCTGACATTGTGATGACATTATTATTATTATTTAGCTTTTTTTGTGCTAAATTTAGTTTTTCAGCTAATTCAACTGTTTTGTTAGCTTGTTTCAACCCCTTCCACTTCCTTCTGGTAGTTTAAGCTACAGTAATTCAGCCTTTTCAGCTACTTTTCAATTCTTTTTTGCTTAATTCAGCTTTTTTTTTTTGCTAATTTCTTAATTGTTGTCCTCGTTTCTGCTTATTTAAATCTAATTCAGCAAATATGTGTTCTTCCCACTTTCTTCTAACTTAGGCTTGTTCTTCCATTTCAGAACATTTTTTAGTTAATTTCAGCTGTTTTTCAGCAAGTTCTTCGCAATAAGCGGTCACACTGCATTTTCACAGGAAATGCAATTTCTCTAGGTGTTGATTGATTTTGCTAAGTTAAAGTATGTTATTAAACAAAGCATGCACTGTCTTCAAAAACCCTATACAAATCTGATTTCCCCTGATTAATTCCACCTTCAGTTACAGTTGAATTAAAAGTACATTAATACCATTTGTCACACTGGCATTTGTTCACTTTCCAGGATGCAACCAATAGATGGGGTGATGTACCTGCTGAGGTCTTCAGAAATGGCACTGACAGTTAAAATGACATCTGCAGGAGGAGTTTCCTGCGCTTCCCTTGTCCTCTGCAGATCATTAACTCTGACAGCCAACTCTGTCATCTTTTTCTCACAGTCCTGAGAGACAAAAATGCTTCTGTGATTGAGAGAACCGTCAGCTCTATTATTCAGGGACTTTGTGACATTTTAAAGGACGCTTTAATGTTACCTGTATCGTACGCCCCTGCTGTGTCAGCTGCTTGAGATCTGGCTCGGTCTCAGACAGAATCCCCACAATTTCAGCCAAAACTCTCAGTTCTGTCTGCAACAGGGAGGCCTCTTCCCTAACGTCCAGAACTCTTGGGTTCCCTGTAAGCGGTGGCACCTGTAGATGTTCGTTGATGCTCTCTATCGTCATCTTCTGGTTTTCGAGGCCTTTGACTCGCTCATAAGTGCTGGCTAGAGCCTCAGCGGTGGAACTGAGTGTGAGGGAGTTCCTGAGCCGTTCAGGTTGTAAAAGGTCTTTTCCAACATCCGTTACATCTTCTAATGAAGCCTGGAAAACAGACAGAGTGACAACAAAGTCCATGCTCAATAATCCAGATATACAATCCAACATTTTTCAGTCATGTCATCTGGACAGCTTCTTTTTATTGTGCTGAAACATTTCACCTTCCATCCAGAAGGCTTCATCAGTCAAGGAAACACACAACACAAAACTGATTCTTCCCCCAACAGCTTACGCCAAAGTGGAACAAACCAGTTATGTTGGTGCCAAGATGGTCTCTTTGGCCCGCCCCCTCCTCCATTGCCGGCCCTCTTCCTTGTTGACAGTCGTGTCAAACTTCGATCCAGAAGGCTTCATCAGTCAAGAAAACACAACACAAAACTGGTTCTTCCCCCAACAGCTTACTCCCAAGTGGAACAAACCAGTTATGTAGATCTTTATCTAGTGTTCAAGATCTTTAGCTAGTGTTCTAGATATTTTAGATTTTATCAATTGTTCTAGTTCTTTATCTAGTGTTCTAGATCTTTTAGCTTTTATCTAGTGTTCCAGATCTTTATCTAGTGTTCTAGATCTTTTAGCTTTTATCTGGTGTTCTAGATCTTTATCTAGTGTTCCAGATCTTTATCTAATGTTCTATATCTTTTATCTAGTGTTCCGGATCTTTATCTAGTGTTCTACTTAATTTAGCTTTTATCTAGTGTTCTAGATCTTTTAGCTTTTTATCTGGTGTTCTAGATCTTTATCTAGTGTTCCAGATCTTTATCTAATGTTCTATATCTTTTATCTAGTGTTCCAGATCTTTATCTAGTGTTCTACTTAATTTAGCTTTTATCTAGTGTTCTAGATCTTTATCTAGTGTTCTAGATCTTGAGCTAGTGTTCTAGATCTTTTAGCTTTTATCTAGTGTTCCAGATCTTTATTTAGTATCTAGTGTTCTACTTCTTTTAGCTTTTATCTAGTGATCCAGATCTTGATCTAGTGTTCTACTTCTTGTAGCTTTTATCTACAGTTCTAGATAGTTTAGCTTTTAGCTAGTATTCTACTTTCAGCTTTTATCTAGTGTTCTTCATGCTCTAGCTTTTAGCTCGTGCTTAGCCTTCTTTAGCATTTAGCTAGTGTTTTGCACCTTTAAGCTTTAAGTCAATTTCAGCTTCAACAATTGTCAGCCATTCATTGTGCGCTCAGGTTCATATTCAAACAGAATGTGACAAAATGTCCGATCTTGAACAGGAAGCTTCGGGTCACTTCATTTATCTCAGCAGGTTCACCTGCAGAGCTGCTGTCTCTCTGCTCGGTCCGCTCGTCTCGTCTTTCTGGTCTTGACAAACCGACATGTTTTCCTGCGGGGTTGTCAAATTACGGTGGCAGTCCTGCAGCTGCCGGCCGAAGTGCTTCTCATTACTCTGACCTTCCTCGAGGCTGGAGCACAAACTCTGTGGACACTTCAGCCACACCGAGCAGCAGTCAGTGGACTTTATACTCAAGTCTGACTGAAACCGTACCCCTTCACTGACCCCAATTTATTATTGCTCAATGCTGAAAGGTGAAAGAAGACAAAAATGTTTTTGTTTCTATTGTCAAAATATCTCGTAAATTCCTGGAGGGGTTTTGATGAACTTTCCAGAAAGTAATAATTGGATGAGCTGATTCAGTTTTAGCATCAGTCGAGTTCAACATGACAGAAAACAGCATATTGTGTATGTGGCAGCTCACGCATAACATTATCTTAAAGGTTCGAACAAAGGGCCAACGTGACTTCTCAGGATAAAGTAATTTCAGTTTAAACTGATATAAATCTTAGTTTATAGACAAAGCATCTTCTTACTTGAACACAGTGATGTCTGAGCTCTACAGGAGTCGGGACCTCGCTGCGTTCAACAAGAGGTGGGTCAACGGTTCGCCTTACATCTTCAGTCTGCCGCTGTGCGGATTTAAACACAAACTTTTCACCGCCCCCGTTCGGGGAGCGCTGCTCCTCCTCCGAGCGGCCTTGTATCCTTGTGTGGAAGGTGTGGTATGTTTCCAGCAGCTGGCAGCTCTGCTCCAGGAGCACCACCTGCTGAAGGTTGCTGCTTCGTAAAGACGACACGAGCTGGGTGATGAGCTCCGTTCTCACACTGCAGAACACAAAAAACAAACTAACGTCTGTTGAGGTTTTTTTTTTTACGGAAACAGAGACTAAAATGTAGCACGGAGTGAAGGTTCATTTAAACTGGAAGGGGTAACTTGTATAAAAATAAAATTTGATTAAAAATACATAAATCTATAAAAAATATGTAAAAATAGATAAAAACTTCTGCATCAGATACTTTAAATTTCTGCTTCCACATACAGAAACTTTGTGCAACTTTCCATTAAAGTTCAGTCAAGTCTTCTGGACTTTTTTTTTTTTTTTCCATCCTTCATCCAAAGGACTTCATCAGTCCGAGGAGCCACAACAATCTTAGTTCCACAAGCAGCACACTCACTTAGTGAACCAACCAGTTTGCTGGTGCTAAGATGGTTTTTGGGGCCCGCCCTCTCCCCCGTCGATTCCTCTGAGGCAGCCATAGTCAAAATGGTTCAAAACATCAACCATGACATTTTGAACTGGTCGGTCCACTATGGGAGTGTGCTGCTTGTGGGACTGCATTTGTTGTGGCTCCTCAGACTGATGAAGTCCTTTGGATGAAGGACGAAATGTCTCCAAAAAAAAGAAACTGTCAACTTTGTCAGATTTATTTTTTAACCTGGATTTGTTGATTTGTGAAACTTTTTATGCTTTTCTTAGAAACTAAAGTTGTGCTTTTTAAAAATAGTTGCATTTTATTTTTAAGGGAAATTATTGTTTGCATGAATTAATATATGTGAAATCTATAGAGGGTGGCACGGTGGTGCAGTTGGTAGAGTTGCCGCCTCTCAGCGAGCAGGTCATTTCAAATAGCAGCCGGTGGAGTTTGCATGTTCTCTCCGTGCATGTGTGGGTTTTCTCCAGGTGCTCCGGTTTCCTCCCACAGACCAAAAACATGCATGTTAGGCTGATTGGTAACTCTAAATTGTCCCTAGGTGTGAGTTAGAGTGTGAATGGTTGTTTGTCTCGTTTGTCTCCATGTGTCCATGTGATGGACTGGAGACCTGTCCAGGTGTCCCCCACCTCTTGCACAGTGATAGCTGGACATGGGCACCAGTGACCCCTGAGACCCGAAAAGGAAGAAGCGGGTAAAGATAATAGATGGATACATTTATCTATATTGTTTATTAATTATTCAACAAAATCTCAAACCCCAGATTTTAATCACAATGACACAGAAAACTTCTCAAATGTTAAAACTGAGAAATTACACCTTTTTTGGGGGAAAAAATGGTTATTTTGAATTTGATGGCAGCAAGATATCTAAAAAATAAGTGTGTACAGAACCATCTTCCCCCACTGGGAAGCAGGAGGTGAGGAGAGCAGCAGATGGGACTGTTGTCCCATTCTTGTCTGATGTAAGATTATTCAACAGTTCTGTGTCTTTGTTTTGTTCCTCGATGCTTTCAACGTTTGGTGAGAGGTCTGGACTGTCTGCAGGTTGGTTCAGCACCAGGACTCTTGGACTACAAAGCCTTGCTGTTGTTATGGATGCAGGGTGAAGTTTAAAATCATCTTGATGAAATTTGAAGGCCTTCCATGACAAAGACGTGGTCTGAATGGGAGAATAGTCTAAAACACATTTAATTTTCTGCATTTATGGTGCCATTCCAGCTGTGTAAGCTGCCCTTGCTGACAAGCACTAATGCACCCCCATACCAACAGAGAGGCAGGATTTTAAACTGTGTGCTGATAGCAGGCTGGATGGTCCCTCTCCTCATTAAAACGGAGGACTATTTCATAGGCCTGTCACGATAAACAATAAATCTATTCATCGCATGATAAATGAAAATTATCAACCACATTTTAATTTATCAGCTTTATCGTTTCTTCACGTAAGGACACTGGATGACAAAATGACCCCTCCCTTTCTCTTTAAAACAGTTTTAATCGTCCAAAATCACGTTTTTGGATCGTTAAAAGCAGCTAAGCTGAAAAGCTAAGCTACAAGCTAAGCTAACAGGCCGACCTCGGGGTTGAAACTCGTGCCTTTGTGTAAAAAGTTGTTCTTTTTTCTGCAGAAAAAAGCTGAGAACTTGTTTACTGATTTTTTACAATTAAATCTTTGTGTGACAAATGCTATGCTAAAGAGCTCAAACCACACCGAGCACCCGCCATTTTGAGAACCGAAAAAATGAAAGACAGCCCATGTCTTAGAGACGCGCTACTCGCTCCCTCACTATCCATCCTTTGGTTCAAACAGTCTTCTACTGCCATCCAGTGGTCAAAAAAAAGGTACTTCACCCAAAACAAATTAACCAACAGTTCTTTTAAAATTTGACAATAATTATTAATTATTGTCAAATTTCAAACAATATTATCGTTTATCGTAATAATTTCTGAGACAATTAATCGCCCAGCAAAATTTGTTATCGTGACAGGCCTACTATTTCAATTCATCTTTCTTTGTAGTTTGAAAATACAAAGACCTACTGAGCAGTTTACCGTTGTTGAAATGTTTCCTCTCTCAAGCATCCAAGGGCCTCTCCCTTCAAAACCTTGTCCTCAGCTGCATGAAGCCATTTTTCCAGATGTTCGTTCTGTGCTTGTAGCCTGCAGCACAAACACACACTTTATGCACTGCAGTAACTTGAAACTTACACAAAAATAAACAGCGATGCAACAAAATATGGAGAGACAAGTGAAATACTAAGACAGCTAAATTAAAATGTGACCTTTGAAAAAGGTGCGTCACCTGTGCAGATCCTGGATATTCCTCTCAGTCTGTTGCTCCACCTCAGAGAAAAGTCGATGGGAGCTTCGGACTTTCTCCTGCAGCTGAATCCCAGTAACAGACAGCCTCTGGAAGCACTCTGGACCAGCTAAAGAAGCCACAACTCGCATATCCTCCACCAAACTCTGCGCCTGCTCGTCCTGGAGGTGGAGCTGCTGCTGTAACTCCTGCAGAGAAGACGGTGACACTCCCAGGAATGTTTAGCCTGCGCTGAGATACATTTCAGCCACTTTCAACACATTAAAAAAGTTTGTCGCTTTAAACTCCATTGAAAAAAAAATATATAGAATTAAACGTTTTTAAAAAATTTACTTTAGCTTCATTTTTTTATTATTATATTTTAAGCCTAACGTGTGAATGTTTATGAATCATTTACTGTGATGCGTTTTTCTTCCGTACGTTTTTCAGCATCTTTCACGTTCCACAATTTTTGTTCTATTTCATCAAATCATAAATCGAAACGTTCAGCTCGTTCAGGAGAAAGGTGCTGTGACTTTTGGTATTGGTGCAACTTTAGCTTTTTGAAATATTTAGCCTTTTCTGATATTTTTCCTCATAGAAAATGAATTTAGCTCATTTTACATCCTTCAGATCTTTAGCTCTGTTTACAACCTTTTACTGCTCCTTTCACATTTTGTTCTGCTTCAGCTACTTTCAGCTTCCTTGTGAAAATTTTAACTCTTTTCAGCTGCTTTTTTCAGCTGTTTTGTCATCTTTCTGCTAACTACAACATTTTTGTGCTTCTTCTAACTTATTTCTGCTAATTTCAGCTTGTTATGCTCCTTTCAGCTGATTTCTGCAAGTTTCATCTTTTTCTGCTGTTTCAGCTATTAATTAGATATTGTATGCTAATTTTAGTTTTTACAGCTAGTTCCACCTTTTTTGCACTCATTTCAACTTTTTTCAGTCTAATTCAGCAAACTATGTGCTCTCTCCTCTTCCTTATTGTAATTTAAGGTTACTTCTGCTTTTTGCTAATTTCAGCTTTTTTTCCAGACAATTTCCATTTTTTGTGCTCATTTCTGCTTCTTTCAGCAGACGTGTTCTTTCTGCTTTCTTCTGCTAATTTAAACGTGTTCTAAATTTTCAGCTACTTTTTATTAGCATTTTTTAGCTCATTTCAGCTGTTTTCAGATAATTTCTGCTACTTTCTGCCTAATTAACTTGTTTATACCAATTGCAGCTTATGCTCCTTTCAGCTTATTTCTGCTAGTTTCAGATTTTTCTGCTATTTCAGCAACTTTTTAGGTGTTTTGTGCTAAATTTAGCTTTTTCAGCTAATTCCACGTTGTCGTTTTTTAAGCTCATTTCAGCTTGTTCCACTTCCTCCTGGTAGTTTAAGCTTCTTTCTGACTTTTCAACTACTTTTCAGTTTGTTTTTTTTTGCTAATTTCAGCTTTTTATTTAATTACCTAATTGTTTGTGCTCATTTCTGTTTATTTAAACCTAATTCAGCAAATATGTGTTGTTTCTGCTTTATTTTGCTAACTTAGTCTTGTTCTTCAATTTCAGCTACATTTCTATTTAATTTCAGCTGTTTTTTAGCAAGTTCTTCAGCAATAAGCATTCTGCATTTTTGCAGGAAATGCAGTTTCTCTAGTTTAAGTTAAAAATGGTGCTAAACACTGCTTAAAGCAAAAGTTATTACCTGAAGTCACTGCGTGTTCAAAATTTACTGAAAGTATATGAACGTTTTATTTATTAATTTTACCTTAGATAAAGCCTTTTGAAATATGGTACAGATGTGAACTGAAGCAGCTAAACTTTTATTTTTTGCTTTATTATCATGAACTACAAGATGAATGCATCACTTCTTCATTTGTAGGTGTAACTTAATCGTCTACCTTGAGTTTAGCACAGACTGTTGGAACATCTGAAGCGGTGAGAGCACCGAGGGAGTCTTGAATCTTCTGGAGGGAGTTCAGACACTCCGTCATCCTCCTAACAATTTGTGTTTTAGTGGCCTCCATCTGCTCATCAACCTCCTCGGCTTCAGAAACAAGCTCCTTCAGCTGCTCCATTTTCCTTCTCACCTGGGTCTCTACCACCTTATAAAACAAACAAAATGAAATGGACCAAGAGAACTAACAAGAATAATAATAACTAATAAGAAACTACAGCTACAGATGCTTCACGTCTCTGATCAATGTGTGAAAACCAGCTCATGAGTTTATGAATAATTTAAAAAAAGCATTTTCTGTTCTTTTCTAATTTGGTAATCCCGGACAGATTAAAATGGTTTGTTTATTTCAAACGGTTCAACGCATGGAACAAAATATGTCGGTATAAACACAGGGTCTACGTTAAATGGAGAATTTTTTAAATGGAGGTAAATTTAATCGAAGGATTATAATGAAAGTCAAGAAAATTTGGATGAAATCTCTCAAACCGTCCTTTATTGTGTGAATGCTCATGAAGCATTCACTCTGTTGTGATCCATTTTTCTTCCGTACGTTTTTCAGCATCTTTCTCGTTCCACAATTTTTGTGCCATCTCAGCAAATCATAAATCAAAACGTTCAGCTCTTTCACAATAATCCTGCTATCACTTTTGGTATTGGTGCAACTTTAGCTTTTTGAAATATTTAGCCTTTTCTGGAATTTTTTTCTCTTTAGAAATGGATTGAGCTCATTTTACATCTTTCAAAATCTTTAGATCTATTTTACAACCTTTAACTGCTCATTTCACATTTTGTTCTGGTTCAGCTACTCTCAACTAACTTCAGCTGTTTTTTCAGAGGTTTTGTGCTCCTTTCAGGTTCTTTCTGCAAGTTTCAGCTACTATTTAGCTGCTTTATGCTAATTTTAGCGTTTTCAGCTAATTCCACAATTTTTACACTCGTTTCAACTTTTTGAAGCAAAAATGTGCTCTCTACACTTCCTTCTGGTAATTTAAGCTTCTTTCTGCTTTTTTAGTTACTTTTCAGCAGTTTTTTGCTCATTTCAGCTTTTTTTTTTTAAAGATAATTTCCACTTTTTTGTGTTCATTTCTGCTTCTTTCAGCCTAATTGGGCAAACATGTTCTTTCTGCTTTCTTCTTCTAATTTAAGCTTGTTCTACCTTTTCAGCTAACATTTTTGCTTTTTTTTTAGCTAGTTTCAGCCGTTTTCAGATAAATTCAAGGTTTTTGTGATAATTTCTGCTCCTTTCAGGCTAATTAACTTCTTTATGCTAATTTCAGCTTGTTATGCTCATTTCAGCTTGTTTCAGCTAGTTTCAGCATTTATGCTATTTCAGCTACTATTTAGCTGTTTTATGCTAATAGTAGCTTTTTCAGCCAATTCTACATTTTTTTTCGCTCATTTCAGCTCTTTCCGCTTCCTTCTGGTTATTTAAGCTTTTTCCTGTCTTTTCAGCTTCTTTTTACCTACTGAGCATGGACTTTGTTCTTTTTACCTGTTTTTGCTCATTTCAGCTTTTTTTAGCCAATTTCCTTTTTTTTTTTGTGCTAATGTCTTCTTATTTGAACCTAATTCATAAATGTGTTCTTTATGCTTTCTTCTGCTAATTTAGACCTGTTCGCCCATTTCAGCTACAGCTCAGCATGTTTTTAGCTAATTTCAGCTGGTTTTTTTTTGTTGTTTTTTTTACAAATTCTTCAGCAATAAGTGCTCACACTGCATTTTGGCAGGAAATGCAACTTCTCTAGTTACAGCTTGAAACCTGCATCCTGACCTGGAAGTGAACCTGTACCTGCAGCTCCAGAGGGGTCTCTGAGCTTTGAAGCAGTGACTGAATCTCGGCGGCTCTCTGATGGAAACGTTCGACGCTCCTCTCTTGGATTATAATCTGGTTCTGGAGGCAGTGCGAGGGAGGTTACAACCAAAGTGTTCTAGCTGAGGGGAGTTTTGATTTTGCATAGAAAAGTCCACAGCAGCTCATTTGTACCTGCAGTGCCTTGATGTCTTCACTCTGAAAACATGGACTCTGAGCAAAAACTACCAGTTTGCTGTCGGCCCAGCTCTCCACTTCTGCCCCCAGCTGAAGGACTCCATCCCATAATGTCAAGCAAAGATGAAGGTTTTCATAGTACGACTCTGTCCTTTCTGATAACTACAAAAGGCAGATATTAAAATATGATAAAGTACCTAGCTAGGCTTAAATTATAAAAGTTTCATCTTTTTCTTCTCAACATCAAAGCAGCATAAGGAGAGTACAAAGTGTCTGAACTGACATCCAGCCAGCGATCCATGAGAGCCTCCGCCTCGCTCTCAAACGGAGTATCGGAGCAGCCGGGTATCTGACGCAGCAGGGAGTGAAGTTGCCTGCAGACGCTGCGGACCTCCTCGATGTCACCTCCAAGACCGTTCAGTTCTGATTTTGTCTCCTCGACCTTACAAAGCATGCAAACACAACGAGAGGACGCACATCTTAAATCAACACCTGATGCAATACATGAATATTTACAGTCCTTCGCTTGTTAAGTCCTAATGGGTTCATTGTTTGTGTGAGTGCAGAGTCATTCACATTCGTGTTTAGAGTTTGTTCCTAACGTTAATAAAACTCAAACTACTCTAGCAAACAATATGCTGTTTTTCTCATTCACAAATTAAAATATTCAGCTCATTTAGGAGATGAGGGCTATGACATTTAGTTCATTGTACCTTTTACAATTTTCAAAATGTTAAATTATGTAAAAATACAACTTCCAATTGAAATGTGTTTTTCCATTTTCTTTAAAAACACTGTCTTAAATCAGCTCCAGCTTTCCTGCTCTAATTGTCTTCTTATGCTACTTTTAAGTGCTGTTCAGCCACTTTCAGCTACCCTTCAGCTATTTTCAGCTTTTAGTTGCTGTTCTGCTACTTTAAGCTTTGAGTTAGTT